AAAGTCCAGGTCTGGGAGTGTCCACGGCAGAGCTCAAAGAACTGAAAAAGTGTCATGACGGGAAACTGCGTGTTTATAGGAACAAACGCACCGGATTGATACCCCGGGCAACTGTCTCAGCATCTTCCGAAGCCATCCACAGCTGGGGCAGACCAGACCAGCCGGGAGGGAGTGGGAGGAGGACTCAGCTCTCCCCCACCCCACCCCCCCTTCCAGGAAGTCTCTTCTCTGAGCACTGATGCACTCACCTGCGCCCTTTCTCTGAGATGAGGTGAAAGGTCAGGGTGCTGGCAGAGCGCGACCCCCCACCAACAGCAGTAAAAAGTGAGCCCTGGGGTGGGGGGGGGACCACACAGATAGCACAGAGGTTAGGGCACTTGCCTTGCATCTGTCAGACCCCAGTTTTTGTCCTCAGCACCCCATATGGGCCTGGGAGCTCCACCAGGAATGATCCCTGGGCACCGCCGGGTGTGGCAACAACAAAACAAAACAAAAACACCCCAAACAAGACTAAAGTGCCTGTGAAAGAGTCTCTCTGAAGAGCTCTGGCATCAGCCAGCACCCAGCTGCAAGTATTTAAAATCCACTGACTCACTTGACCCACTCCACCACACCCTGCGGCCACCACAATGGGCATCCCATTTCACAGATGAGCACACAGAGGCTCAGAGAGCCCCAGCCACTTGCCAAGACCTCCTGACAGGCTTTGCCCTGTGGATGGGAGGCCCAGCGGGCTGGCTCCAAGGTCCCACGCTCTGCCATGCTCGGTCGGACACAACCAGGACCAGCAGGGCACCCGGGCACAAGGCAGCCCGCAGGGACAGGTGCCCGCTGGGAGCTGGGAAAGGCAAGGGAGACAGCAGACGGCCCCGCTGCAGAAGGCTGTGGAAGACCCCCTAAGAAGTGGCCCCAGACGCCACAATCTCACTCGAGCAGCAGAAGTCTAAGGGTTCCACCCGGACACCCCAGCGACCTCCCAATCCCCATCAGCCCCATCAGCTCCCCAGACACCCGCCCTGCTGGGCCCGTCCGCCCCCCAACCCTTCCCCCCCCCCCCCCCCCCGTTCCCTGGAACACCCAGGCATGAGCCGCATAGAAGCTTCCAGACCTAAAAAGGCAGGGATGAGAGGACCAGAGGAACCCTGAAGGAGGCAGGAACTGCAGGGCTGGGAGGTGAGGGGCACCTACCCTCCCCACCACCAAACCCTCCCCACCCCCTCCAAACCAGCCCCCTTCTTGGGGTAACCAAGGCCCCAGGAGGTTCAGGAGGACACGGAGGAAGCTGGTCAAGGTCAGTGGGCTGGGGCCAGCCCACCCCAGCGGGCTTCCAGCAGCCTCTCCTGCCAGGGTGGTTAAGTGCTCCAGGGGATTTTTCGAGAAGGAAAGGGAGAGCCGGGTGTGACCGTGCATAATGGAAGGGGGCACCCAGGGACGTGGGCATGGCCCGCGAGGCCGGCCACCCCCACTCCGCTCTTTCCAGCTCGCTGGTGCCGGCCCCTCCGCATGCCAAATAGCTCTGACCATTAAGAGCCGCAAGCCACCATGGTGCCAGGGGTGCCCCCCACACACAGCGTGGAACTCTGCCCTGCTGCCCCCCAACATGCACTTGACTTCGATACGTGCTGCTGCCTTCCCTCTCCCCCGCCCCCGTCCCTTCCCCCCCACCCCCAGCCCAAGTACTGGCAAAGCTTCCTGCCCCTCCCCCACAGCGCCTCAGTCCGTCTCTTTAGGGTCCAGGATGCCCAGAGAGCCAGGAAGCCCGAAGACCGCCTGCAGCCGAGATCTAGGAGTCAGCCCAACTTCTCCGGGCATGCTCTGCACCCCCTTTCTGCACCTGCTCCTCACAGTGGCTCTCCCTAGCGCCGGACAATAGTGCCCCCCAATGTAGCAGCCTCATCAAGGCGGGAATCTAAGGAGGGGCTGGAGAAAGGACTTTATCGGCTGCTCAGATATGGGCGCGCAGGGCAGTCAGGGGAGGGTTGACTCCCCGCAAACCTCGGGCTCCTGACAATTTTGCTCTACCGAGGAGAAAAGAACACAGCCGGGGTTGGAGCGATAGCGGGTAGGGCATTTGCCTTGCACGCGACCGACCCGGGTTCGATTCCCAGCATCCCATATGGTCCCCCGAGCACCACCGCCAGGAGTAATTCCTGAGTAAAGAGCCAGGAGTAACCCCTGTGCATCGCTGGGTGTGACCCAAAAAGCAAAAAAAAAAAAAAAAAAAAAAACCACCACGGCCATGGTGGGTGGGGGGACACAGTCCATGGTGCTGGGCGTGTGCTTTGCCTGGGGACCGCCAGGCTCCATATCTAACAGCCCCTGGCTTCCCCAGCACCTCCCTCCAGAAAACTAGGTCTTGCCGGCACCCCGCACCCCACCTTCTGCTGCTTCTCGCTGCCCTGTCAGACCCGCATCATCCGACCAATCTGGAAACTGAGGCTGAGCTGAGCCCTGCCACTGGGCTTTCTCTCAGCCCAGCTCTGTTCCCAGCCAGGTGTCTGGCTGCCCACCGGCAAAGGGGGCACCCCACCCTCCACCCCCACCCCCAGGTCTCCCCACTGGCCCTCCCTGACTTAGTCCCGCAGCCGCAGCCCCGGATCCACTCCAGCCCTTGTGGAGTTAACAGCAGGGCAAGACATGGAGCAGGATCAGAAGCAATCCCAGGCAGGAAGCAGCTGGGCTGCCCTAGCCGGCGCTGAGCAATGGGTGCAAAGCACTGGCTCTGTGCTCCCCAAAGCCTGGATGGGGGGAGGGCAGAGGAGAGGGAAGGAAGGGGGAGGAGGGGCAGGTCCTTGCCCCCCCAGCACACACACACACACACACACACACACACACAGAGCCGGGGAGGCCACCACCTGACTGCTCAGCACTCCGGGTGTCAGAGAATTCCCGGCTCTGAGGATCCCAGGCCCCCGAACCTCCCAGGAGACCTTCAAGGTCACATCTTCCAACCACATCCCCACACTGGACAGGGCAGGACGCCTTCCCAGCGCCGGCGTCCTCCTCTGGGTCCCCACAGCCCCCCACCGGGGACAGACGGCTCATTCCCCTCACCAGGGAGCCTCCGTCTAAGCCATCTGCCTCCTTCTCCCAACCCATTCCACCGCTGCCTGGCTGACCCCGCTCACATCATGGGGGCGGGGGGGGGTAGGAGGTGGGGGGACCCCCCACCCACCTGGGACAGCCACATTCCTCGGCTGGCTGGCCAGCAGGATAGCCGTCCCACACGTCACAGCTTCAGGCATAGACCCCCCACCACATCACATGGGGATTCGATGCTGCCCAAATGCCCACCTATCTTTCTTTGGACTCATCTGCCCCCCCGCCCCCCCACTGAGAGTCGCCCAGCTCACAAGTGGACGCTTATCAGGGACGGACACCAGGCGCCCCAGAAAGACAGAACTGGGGTTTTTATGGGAAGTAGGGGATGAAGCAGCAGAGGCTGGTGGGGGGGCTGGGGATGGGGGGGATTGAGACAGGGAGCTGGCAGGTAGGAAGCCCACTGCCTGACCCACCTTGACGCCCAGTGTGGGGGGTGGTGGGCAGCCCAGTCAGGCACGAGCCGTCCTGTGAGATTCCCTGGGACCTCCAGGCTGCAGAGCCCGCCTGGGGCCAACCCCCAGCTGGGGTCCCCATCCAGAGCCAAGCCCGCCCCGTCCTGTCCTCCCCGCAGCTCTGGACACAGAGGTCCCACAGAGTTCGCCTCAGCTGCAGCTAGCTCTGAGGTCCGGGAGCAAGGGCTGGGGGTGGGGGAATGGAGGGGGGAGCGACTTAAGGCCAAGTCTGAGTCACAAGCATCCACCCTACCCAGGCAGCACCAGGAAGACACTCAGAGTTCCCCCCCAAACATCCCACCCTGTGGAAACCGCTCACCCCCCACACACTCCTCAGTTTGGCTTGACTCGGCCACACAGAAGGGGGCCAGGGGTTCCCAAAGTGTCTGGAAGCCCGAGTTCTCAGTTTCCCTCCCTGACCCAGCACGGGACCTGACCCCATCTCACGCCCCCCAGCAGGCTCTGGGGTCCCCCGGGACATCCCTCCTTCCCCAGTTTCCTCTTCCATAGAGGACAGCCTGAAAACATCTGGGCGGCCAGCTCTGGCCCTGGTCCTGAGCAGGGGGGCAGGGGGAGGGGGCGGGGGCAGGGGTGGGGGGCAGGGGGGTACACATGGGCGTCTCCAGCTCAGGCAAGGTAGCGAGCAGGGCAGAGGAGGGGCAGCGAGAGGGAGAGAGGAGGGTGGACGGAGAGCAGCTGCCTGTGTCTGTTCATTAACCACCTGGATTAGCCATTTCTGCCCAGAGGGGTGAGGAAGGAGCAAGGGCTGGGGGTAGGGGGGTGGGGGGAGGAGGCGGCAGGGGGCACTCATGCCAGGCTGTACCCATGCACCAGGGAGCAGGATTCCAGCTGGGGGCGGCGGGGGTGTGCAGGGTGCTTTTTAACTCCAGCTTGTCCGGGCTGACCCCAAGCCCCTCCTCAGAGCTTGTATAAGGAGGAGCCTGGATCAGTGGCCCCGGGGTCTGTGGCACCTCCCACGGATGGACAGACAGACGAACAAGAATGAAGATGGAAAGTGTTCTGGCCAACGGGCTGCGGGTCCCCTCCCCACAGCAGCCCAGACGGCAGATGCTAACGAGCCCATTGCTCCGTCCGGGTCCCTGCCCACTGGCCCCTGCTGGCCTCAGTCCCAAGCGACCAGGAACGGCCACCACTTCCCCAGCGCATAAAACTCTTTGGGGCTGGGGGTCTCTCTGCACAAGGGCCTCACCCCGACTCCCTGCTGGGGGCCACAGACACATCTGAGGGCCGAGGACTACGACTGACAGGTTGGCCTGGGAGGTGGGTGCGTGCGTGCCTGGCGCAGGGCCTGTGACCTGACAGGCTGACCCCACCCCTGCCCCACACACACACGCACATGCACACGCACACGCACACACACCAAAGCTGAGCCTACCAGGGAGAGAGAAACGAAGAGACACAAACCCACCGGCCCCCCACACTCACCTTGCTGGCAGGGGGGCACCGGGTGGGGTGGGGTGAGTGTCTGCCCGGGTGCCTGGGACAGGGGCGGTGGTGGGCAGTGACGGGCAGCTGTGACCAGCAAGCAGCTGGGTGCTCCAGAGAAGGGCGTGAGCGAGCCTAAGTGTCCGGGCGGGGAGCTGGGGGTTGCAGAGAGCAGAGCGGGTCCCCGGACCAGGGCTGGGAGCTTGTGAGTCTCTGCTGCCAGGCTCCCTCTCCCGGCGGGCGGCCCTGCACCGCCTCCTTCCCGGAGCCGCCAGCAGGCCCCGCCGCCTCCTTTAACCCCTGCAGCGCTTGGCTCCCGCCAGGCCTGGCAGGAGGTGCCGATGCCAGGGGCGGGCGCGTGCTCTGGCGGTCACTCCCCTCCTTCACCCATAGGCCCTGCAACTTCCCTGGGGGGGGGGGGTGGGCATAAAGAGGGGTCAGAGGGGAGCAGGGGGCAGGGGAGGGGGGAGGGGCCAGGAAGCCTGAAGACCCGGGACCCCGTGGATAGAGACAAACAGCTGCGGAGAAACACATCTGTGGAGGGGGGAGCAACGTTCCCAGTGAGATGAGACGATGACACTAATACAAACTGCAGTTCCCCGTGGCTGTCTGACACTCTTGTTCTCAACTCATGGTGTGACCCCTGGCCCAGGAGCCCATTCTGAACTCGTTTTTTTTTTTTCCAGCATAATATGGATTGTTGTTGTTGTTTGTTTTTTCTCTCCCCCTGCAGGCGGAGAGAGGAAGGTATGTTTGCACCCTAAAGTGATTTAACTCCAGTCAATGTAAGGCTGGCTTCAACTCCCTCTAACATGCATCCAAGGGGCTGGAGGGATAGCACAGCAGATAGGGTGTTTGCCTTGCAAGCGGAGGACTCCAGTTCGATCCCCGGCATCCCATATGATCCCCCGAGTATTGCCAGGAGTAATTCCTGAATGCAAAGCCAGGAGTAGGGTATTTGATCATTGTATAATTGAAACCCAAGCATAAAAATTTGTAAGTCTGGGGCTGGAGCGATAGCACAGCGGGTAGAGTGTTTGCCTTGCACGCAGCCGACCCGGGTTCGATTCCCAGCATCCCATATGGTCCCCCGAGCACCGCAGGAGTAATTCCTGAGTGTATGAGCCAGGAATAACCCCTGTGCATCGCCGGGTGTGACCCAAAAAGAAAAAAAAGAAAAAAAAACTTGTAAGTCTGCAACTGTACCTCATGATGTCTCACTAATAAAAAAAAAAGAAAATTGAATATACTAACTTTTCATATGTAATTGCTTTAAATCTATTTTGATGATTAATAACCATCAATAAAACTATCAAATATAAAAAGAAGCACCAGGAGTAACCCCTGAGCATTGCTGGGTGTGACCCAAAAAGGAAAAAATAAATAAATAAATAAAATGCAATCAAAAGTAAACCTGGTCGGGGCTGGGGATGGAAACAGCATGGTAACACGTGGAAACACGTCTCTCAGGCGTGAGGCCCTGGGACCACAAAAATTAATAAAAAATAAAATAAAGGCAGCAGGCCTGGGGTGGGGGGGGCAGAGGGCTTGGGAGGAGGGGGCGTGGCAGAGTGAGGAGAGCAGAGCAGGTAGGAGTTTGCCTGGCATGCAGCCAACTCAGGCTAGATCCCAGGCATCCCCTAGGATCTCCTGAGCCCTGTCAGGAGCGATCCCTGGGCACAGAACAGAAGTAAGCCCTGAGCACTGCCAGGTGAGGCCAAAATAGCAAAAAAAAAAAAAAAAATCACTGTCATCCTGTTTTTCATCGAGTTACTTGAGCAGGCACCAGTAACGTCTCCATTCGTTCCCAGCACTGAGATTTTAGCAGCCTCTCCTTACTCGTCTTTCCCAATGCTATATGACAAAAAAGAATAATAATTAATTAAAATAAAGACAGCCAGGGTCGTGGCTGGGCCGTGGAAAGGCTGGCGGGAAGGTGGGGAGCCTCGGTTTCATGCCAGACATCCAGGCTCTAGAAGGGAATATCTGCTATGAAAGTGGAACCCCCTTTTTCCTGCCAGAGAACACAAGTTTCACCCTCCCTCCTCTTTCCAAGACACACCCACTTTCACCAGAAGTCCCAGGCTCCCCCCACCAACCCTCCCCCTCCTTCACCCCGCCCCCCCCGCCCCAGCCCATGTGTCTGGACACTGGAGGTCATTCCATGAGGTCACCGCCGTCCCCTTCCTACCAGTGTTGCCTTCAGACTCCACTCAAGCCACGCCCTCCCTGGGCCTTCTCCAAAGGCACCACTTGGAAGGGAAGAGTTGGCACTGCCCCTCCTCTCAACACCCAAGGCTGCTGCCCAGGCAATAACGCATGACGGACATGTGCCGTGTGCACTTCCGTGTGTCTCGGGCTGATGAAGATGGATTTGCCTTTTCCTTCCCCTTTCCTACTTGGTCCAGGGCCTAGCACAGGGCTGACAGTGCAGATTCTCAATGAAAGGAGACGGAGCAAATGAGTGAGTGATGGAGAGACGAGACCATGGATAGACGGATGGATGGAGGATGGATGGATGAAAGGCTAAATGGATAGAGGGATGGAGGGTGGGATGGAGGGAGGGAGAGAGGGAGGGAAGGAGGGATGGAAGGAGGGAGGGATGGAGGGATGGACAGATGGGTAGAAAACTTGTGAAAGAATATATCAAAGGGGACCTTGGGGGATACAAGGAATCACATCCAGGCTTCCTATCTGTGTGACACACAATTTGTACACTGAGCTATACCCCAGCCCCTGGGGTACCTTTATTCATTTATATTTGGGGGTTGGGTTTTCCAAGCACTGCTCAGGGGACCCAGGGGCCACCCTTGGGGCCACTTAGCTAGACTGACCAGATGGTTCGGCTCTAGGGACACCAGGGCTCGAGCTATACCTGGTCGTGCTGGGGGGATGGGCAGGGGCAGTCAGACACTGCCTGGGACACACTCGCAGCCTTGTGGATGCAAAGCCTGTGCCCACCCCTCCACTGTGAAGACTGTTCATGAAGACGACTTTGATGGTCAGAACTCAGGAAGGGGTGGGTGGAGAGATAGTACAGCAGATTGGCGCCTGCCTTGCATTCTGCCAAATCTGTTCATAGCGTCCCCTGAGCACAACTAGGAGTGACCGCTGGGCACCACCGGATATGGCCCAAGCCCCTCCCCCACCGAAAGACCTCCACAGGAGCAGGCAGAAAAACTAACTACGGTAAGACACAGGGACCTTCAGACTTATATACACAGACCCCAGGAGTAGATCACGGGGGTTGATAGATGCCCCCCTTCAGCTACTCTAAGAAGCATTTGGGAGTGACACTCCTCACCTCAACATCACCTCTTCTAGCCCCGCCTTCCACTCAGATAATCTGCAAAAAGCACCCCAAGAGCTCACGGGTCAAGGGGAGGTCACACACACACCCCCAAACCCCCCCACACACAGACTCACATATTTATTCTCACGCATGCACACACTCATACACTCACACACATGTGCACACACACTCATGTATCCCTTACACACTCACACTCGTACGCGCACCCCCCACATATGCAAACACACACTCTTGCACACAGCCACACACTTTCTCACTTACACACCCTCACATATGCAAACATACACTCTTGCACACAGTCACACACATACACACATACCCTCGCATGTGCAAACATACACACTTGCACACAGTCACTCACACATTCTCACACAGACGCATTTACTCTATTCCACACACTTCTACACACACACACACACACACACACACAAACACACACCAGGCTTTCTGCAGAAGCCTGTTCCTCTCAATGCTCCCCTCCCCTCCTCCTCCTGGCCAATGAGGGCTCAGGGCTCCTCTGGTTCTCCATTGCCCACCCCGCCCCTCACTTCCTCAGGAGAGCCCAGGTCCCATCCCCTCCCCTCTCCCCCCTCCCTGTGCAGACCCAGCACATCTGGTTCCAGTTGTGGTCGGTCCATTCAGGGGTAGGCCAGCGGGGAGGGGGTGTTCTCATAAAACGAAACAGCACCAGCTCTGGAGCCCATGGAGCTGGGGAAAGGGAGGGCAGGAAGCGGAGGGAGAGACAGGGGACAGGAGCCCAGAAGGAGTGGCCCCGTGCATGTCTGGGAGGAAGGACGCTCAATGGAGGCTTGTTCACGGGAGCTGGGACTAGTGAGGCAGACGTAGGGCGGAGGGCGAGCAAGCCAGGGGAGGCGGAGCGGGACAAAGACGGGGTCAGGGAGACCCAGGAGAGGAAGGCGATGGCACTGGGGGGTGGGGACGGCACAGAGCGTCCATTGACAGAGTCTGAGAAGGAGCTGTGCCTGGCAGAGCCAGGTGCCCGCTGGGGGAGGCCGGCCCAGGGTAGAGGGACAAGACAAAGCCACCACAGCTAGGGGACACCAAGAGGGGACACCGGGAGGGACAAGAGAGGGCAAAGAGCAGTCACGTGAAAGACGGCCAAGCGCCCCCCCTTTCCCCCTGGGGTTCGGAGTGGGTCAGCCCCAGTACGGCCCACTGCTCCTTCCTTCCTTCCTTCCTTCCTTCCTTCCTTCCTTCCTTCCTTCCTCCCTCCCTCCCTCCTTCCCTCCCTCCTTCCCTCCCTCCCTTCATTCCTTCCTTCCTTCCTCCTTCCCTTCCTCCCTTTCTTCCTCCCTCCCTTCCTCCCTTTCTTTCTTCCTCCTTCCCTTTCCTTCCCTTCCCTTCTCTTCCCTCCCTCCCTCCTCTCTCTCTCTCTCTCTCCCCCCCCACCATTAGCCCTTTGGTTTGCACCCTTGTCTTAGGCACTTGGCACACTTGGCAGCAAAACAATGGAGCCCAAATCACTGACTGCTCATATAGGAGTCAGAATTTAATTATCACACCCGATGATACTCAGGGCTTTCTCCTAGCTCTGTACTCAGAGAACATTCCCTGAGGAGTTTGGGGGACCCTACAAAGATGCCCGGGATCAAACCAGGGTGAGCTGTATGCAAGGCAGGCAGCCCCACCCACCCTACTATCTGTGCTCTGGCCCTAGATTTAAAATCAGGAATCAGATTTTATTTATTTTTATTTATTTTTGGCTTTTTGGGTCACACCTGGCGATGCACAGGGGTTACTCCTGGCTCTGCACTCAGGAATTACCCCTGGCGGTGCTCAGGGGACCATATGGGATGTTGGGAATTGAACCCGGGTCGGCCACGTGCAAGGCAAACGCCCTACCCGCTGTGCTATCACTCCAGCCCCAGGAGT